ACAACAAAACCATACAACCAGCTACTATGTCTAAAAAACAAATTGTTCCTTGTTGGCAATCCAGGTGGAGAACCTGCTATACAGGATTCAGCACAAAAAGAAAATTCCCTGACAGAGTTTCTTTTAAAAAGGGTTAATAATTAATCTCTCTGTTCTCATTAGTCTAAATAGAAATGTGCATAAAAACAACTGAAGCTATTATTTTTAGATAATTCATTCAGAAAGATAATTACATCTACGGTAGTTAAAATAAAACCTGCTTAAACATAAAAGAGAAACGCCACATGTAAATAAAAAATAAAGATATTTTAACATTAGCTGTTGTATTTCATTATTTTTGAAAATATCAATAAAAGAGATATCATAAATTATGAGTGAGGTACCATATTGAATCTAAAGCGTTCTCCAGGAGAACGCGCAATCTTTAACCTTACCATTGTTTATCTGTGACAGATCTGGGTTAGCAGTCCTCACAACGCCACAGGCTACTACACAGTTTATGGTGAAGAGGCGCTGCATGCCGACCACTTCAACACTAAGCTCAGCTTTGGAGACACCCAGACGGTTTGGGCAAGAACCGGTTATCTGGGCTTCTTGCGACGCACCGACCTCACTGACGCCAGTGGAGGTTAGTGTTATAAGTAATATTTTGAAATGTTTCACTATGGAAAGTTAAAAGGGTTTATCTGTACTGTTACATCTGCTTTTCGACTTAATATTTCTTTGATGTGTCAGAGCGTCACGATGCTCTCTATGTGGTGGGGTCTCTTGATGAAACTCTGGAGCTGAGGGGGATGAGGTATCACCCCATCGACATTGAGACATCTGTTATCCGTGCTCATAAGAGCATAGCTGAATGGTGAGAATCCTGCAACAGCTCCAAATCCTGTTATTATAACCTCAGTATCTAACAGGTGATGAAATGTTATCCATCCCTACTCCTTCCTTCAGTGCTGTGTTCACATGGACCAACCTCCTGGTGGTGGTGGTGGAGCTGGAGGGATCCGAGCAAGAGGCCCTGGACCTGGTGGCCTTGGTTACAAACGTCGTCCTGGAAGAGCACTACCTAATTGTGGGAGTGGTGGTGGTGGTGGACCCTGGAGTGATTCCTATTAACTCCAGAGGGGAGAAGCAACGGATGCACCTCAGAGATGGATTCCTGGCCGACCAGCTGGACCCAATTTATGTGGCGTACAACATGTGAGGAGCTTTTCTGCAGGAGGATTAGCTCCTCTCCTGCTTTTTTAAAATCCCAATCCTGGTGACAGCAAGACAGAGATGCCTTGTGTGATGCATGGCCTTAATAGAGAGACTTTTGCCCTTTAGCACTCAAAGGAATGAAAAACCAAATGGATACACGACTTCCCAGCAGGTATAAGACTGATACAAACCTCACATCTGTTTCCAATGTGGACATCAGCAAAGATATTTTTAAAGGGCATTTTTCTTTCACGGATGTGAGTTTTGGATATATGACTTAGCTCCGGCCTCTTCAAACCCAGGTGCAGCACAGCAGGAGGATTTTAGTTTGATGCTTCAGAGTGCCAATAAATGTAATTTATTTTGTTAGCTTATAAAGGGTGAATGTTAAGCGTGAGCATGTGCCAGTGCACCAAACATGATGCAAAACATTGTGTTTAGAGCTTTGCGTGTTAGGTCCGATACTTTTCATGGAAAATCTGTATTTTATGAGCAGATCCTGACATTAAAGCGGTCCTCCTAATTTTAGTCCCCATGCCTTGATGAAGGAACACAAAGAATGTTAGTTGTGGTTTGCTGTTATAACACGATGTGAGTCAAACACACAGTTTTCTTGTCCTTGAGGGTTCACTCATTCCTCCTTACACATGCACACACACAGAAAAACAAGATTCTCAGCTATTTGAAAGGACAAACATCAAATTAACTAATCATTTATTTATTAAAATTACAGGTCGGGTCATTGTTATACACAGAAAATATAGAGAACTTTTTGAAATTACATAATGAATATGAGGGAGGCCACAGCTGAGGTCCATATATAAACACATACTAATTAGTGACTTTTAAAGCACTAATATGCAACAGTTATTAGCTTTTAATGGAGCTATTGATTTACTACGATTTTTAAACACTGTTATGTCTTAGAAAAACAGAAAACATGTTTTTGTTCTAACGAATTTGCATTTCAGCTATGACATTTAGATAGTAGGGTCAGAAACTAGCATAAACGATTATATGCACTTATCCATTCAGAATGGTTTCAGGCTGGATTAGGTGGTGTTACAGTTTGGGGGTATTTTCTTCTCTTACATCTGGAATCATAAATCTTAGAGGAGCATATCTTAATTGCTACTGCCAAAGTATGACACTTACAGCATGTACATCCTTTTCTGGTTGCAGTATACCCCCCTTTAGACAGCAGGCTCCGAAAGGATAACATGCCAGGTCACAAAGCTCCAGTCATCTCAAACTGGATTAAAAAATATTCAAATAATTTTAATCCTTCAGTCAGTCGATCTAATTAGAAGAGGAGATTTCAAATGTGTGAATCTGCAGTTATTGAAAGCCCCTTTCATCTAAATATGGACCAAAATCAGAGTGATGTATCAGACGTCTTGTTGACTACATGCCACACAACTTTAAAGTAGTTCCGAAGGCAAAATGGAGTCCAGCACAACTGTAGCAAGCAAAGTATAACTAAAAAATGTGGCCAGAGTTCGTTCCATTTTCAATTCTCGATGTATCATCATACTTTCTGCTCACATGGGGCTTTTTAGCTGTGCATGTGTGACTCGCATCGCACAGCAACTCATATCAGGTTGTAACGGTTTCTTGTGTCCCTTGCCTTTTAAATAAACTCCACTTCATTTTAATCTCTTTTTTTTATCTTAACATGTTAAACAGTTACTGTTAAGTTTTACCATGTGATGCATGCAATGTGAAGGATGTAGTTTTAAATGACTTCATACACTAAGTGCGGATCGGTTTAAGTCAAACGAGGGACAGAAATAGGATTATGATTGTTGATTTCTGTTAGCTGTGAGCTAAAGAATATAAATGAAGCCTTAAGTGTTTTTTAGGATGCCTGTTTCTATTCCAGCTCCATTTGACTGTGATAGAGAGGGAAAATTGGTATATTTACAGATATTTTGGGTTAACATGCACTTGATTAAAAACATAAGTCAATCTAAACAAACTCCATAAACATTTCTAGGATTCTTCTTTTTTTTTTTCTTTTAAATGTGCTGAAATCATTTCCAGAAGGTTTAGCCGAATTTTTTTGTGCCATAAGGCTGAATGAGAGTTTGACCTTTAAATGTACCATATTAAATAACTGTCCAGAATATCAGATCACCCTTTTATGGTTTCCCTTTTGTTTTGATTGTTTCTCCTTTAATTTGAAAAACCCTTCAGACACGAACTCCAGCCTTGTAAGTATGTACAGATTTTTTGTAAATTATTTTTGATGAGGAGACAATAGGAGAGCCCAAATAAGACTAATTCTGCCATATCTGTGAATTTCTCGCTCACGTACCTTGTAAAGATGTTTTATGGTGGGGATGGACACTTCCAAGATGAGAGGAATAAAAGTCCAGCACAAAAAGAAGACATTGGTACTCTGAGACTGCAGGGATATTGCATAAATCAGAGCTACGTTTTTGTGGAGATGTACAGAAAGATACAAATGTTGAAGATGATGGTTGCTTGTCATTATTTTCATAACATGATTTGATAAAAATAAAACTAAAAAAAAAATACTTTCTACAAAAGGTGTGTTGTTTTTGCCCTCAAAACATGTCAGTTTGCTTCTCAGCAATGACCAGAATTATTGGTTTATGCTTAGATTAAAGGATCGCCTGAGATGGTCACAAAAGTTACAACTTTATCTGAAGGCCCGTATCTGATGGTACTTATACACCAATGATCAAAAAGCCAGACTGCGATTGGCAGGTCCAGACATTTGACAAACTGCTGATCTGCTATGCATGATCACCTCAAAGTAAAAAAAAAAAAAAATGGCATTATTATATGCAAATTGCATAGGACTTGTAGATTTTTATAATGTGATTTAAAGTGATGTGGGTGTGATGTTCTCATAGAATATGGAGAACCATTTTTTTCCCATAATAGTGGAAATTAGCCTTAAAAAAAAACAGCAACAAAAAAAAACACTGGGATGGCCTGTTTGATAACAATGAGCTCTAGCAATTTTTACTGTTTGCAAGCAGGAGAACATAACCTAGTCTCTGTGACATTCAGAGCTCTTTAAGGACATTTTTAGATCTCCATCAAACTACACATATACAGACTTTTACCTTACATGAACACACTGACCTTCAGGGTCCAAACTAGCAATTATAAGCTGCTTTTCGGATTCTCAGTAGTGCATTTTGAAAAATAGCTGCCTGCTTCCTTAAAAATATTGTGTTATGAATTTGAAAACGGAGGCTGTTGCGAGAGGAGATACTAGTAAAGTGTCTTTGGGCAAAACTTCTTGCCCAATACCAACCATTGCCTCAATTCTCATTGTAACACATTTGAGGGATTCATGGATCATTAGCTATGAAGACCAGTTCTTTTTTTATTTATTTATTTTTTATTTATTTATTTTTATTTATTCATTTATTTAATATATATATATATATATATATATATATATATATAAAGAAGACTAGTTGTTTTACAGAACAATGCAGAAATGTCACTTAACACAAATAATTTAATTTTCAAACAAAACTAGAAAATGTAATTAAAAAGTAAGGGGTTTATGTGATGATGAAGGAACACAATTATGTTTTTATGTGCAAATCAAGGCAAGGCAGGTTTATTTGTATAGCACAATTCAGTGCAAGGACAACTCAAAGTGCTTTACATGAATTGGATAATAAAATAGAAGAAAAAGCATAATAAAATCAAAGATGCAAAAAACATCTGGAAAACAAAACAGTTGGACCAATGTCAAGGCTCAGAACAGAGAACCCAGTATTCAAGGCAAGACAGACAGATTACTCAAAATGTGTTTATTAAAAAAAGACTGATTGGCAGTGGCAGCTAGGCACAAACCTCCACAGGAGGGAAACAAAGGTTAAAGTTCAGTCTTGTCCCTGAGGAGGAAGTGAATTTTAGCCGAACAGCTGCAAACACGACTCTGTGAATGCTGCCCACAGAGTTCCAGATGCTGAAGCCTTGAAGACTGCAGAACTGGCAGGAGATCAGATCCAAGCAGGGAAAGGAAGGAAGGACAATCCAGAGGGGATCGTCCATGCCAGAAGATCAGAGATCAGAAGAGGTACCGAAGGGAAATCCAGGTCGATGTCAGGAAGCAGATCCAGGTTCAGTCCACAAGTAGAATCCAGCAGGTGTCCGAAGACGGGTCAGGCAAACAGATCAGAACAGGACCAGGCAGGCTCAGAGGTCCTAAGGCAGAACAGGTCAGGATCGGGCAATCAGAACACATTCAGGTACCATAGAGAACTCTTACGAAAGGCTTGAATAATCTGGCAGTGATGACTGGGAGCAGGCATGTAAAATAGAAAGACTGGAGCAGGTGACGCAGATGAACGGTGATGAGAAACTGGGTGGAGCTAGGCAGGTAAATGGAATGAACAATCAAGCAAGCCAAGATCATGACACCACAACCTTAAATGTCAAATTGAAAGGAGTGCGTCTAAAGCAGTTTTATCCTGTGTGATGGTAGATTATTCTTTATTTTCTCCATGTGGCTGTACTAAGTCGCCCAAAAATGCTCCAAGTAATTAAAATCAAGAGAGTTTTACAGTATGCTGGGCAGCTCTAGCTCCTCTAAAGCAGTCACATGAAACCCAGCTGTGACGTCAGTGTAGTGAAAAGGTCCTCAGGTGGCTGTTTAGAACCACTGCTTCACGCATTGTTAAAATCTGAAAGGATTGTTAAAACACCATTACAATGGTCTATTGTATTGTTGCCAATTGTAGGAATGGTCGATAGGGCAAACTGTTTGAATCACATCCCGGGAGTTTCTTTTGTCATCAATCCTGGTCGCATAGCATCAGTTGGATTCAATATACTAAAATTGCAAGGGCTGGATTTCTCTGTTGTATAGTTTTAATAAAGTGTCTGATGGTTATAAAGCTGATTCAATTTATTTCAATAATTTTTTTTGTAATTTAGTAATATTTCATAAAGTATCTTCTCTAAACTACAGGGAGCCGGTCTAAGGACTTCAGAACCAGACTGATGTGTTCTACTTTCTTAGCTCTAGCCAGTCGTTTCTAGCTGTAGTAGCTGAAGCTGAAGCTCTGGATCTCTCCTTCTATTGTCTGAAGATTATATTTATATATTTGTATTCAGTTGTAAAAAATTATGGTGCATCCACATACCGGTATTGATCTGTTCTAAGCATCTAGTCAACTCTCTGATTGTCGATAGTCGCCTGCTGATTTCGTGGTATAAGGCTGTGTGTCATCTGTATAGTTATGGTAACTGATATTGTTGTTTGCAACAATCTGAGCAAAGGGGAGGATGTCGATATTTAAAAGAAGGGGCGCCAGAATGGAGCCTCGAGGAACCCCACATGTAATTTTTCTGGTTTGGGATTTCAAGTTCCCTACTGACACATATGAGTTTCATGTCCCTCAGGTAGGATTTAAACTAGTTCATTGCTGTATGAGAAAGGCCGACCCAGTTTTCCAGACATGCCAACAAAATTAAGTGATCAAAAGTATGAAACGCTGCACTGAGGTCAAATACTAACAGCACAGTGGTCCTTCCAGAGTCTGAGTTTATATGGATGTCATTGAACACCTTAATCAGGGGATGTCTCTGTACTGTGGTTGGCATGAAAAACCTGACTGGAAGACATAAAAGCACCTGGTAATTGTTAAGAAGGGGAGGTTTGAGATGGGTCTGTAGTCTGTAGTTCTGAAGAACCTTCTTCATAAAACCTGTGGGTAAAACTTCAAGACAGCAGGAAGAGGAGCTTAGCTGCCGAACAGTTTTAACTGGAGACAGTACTGGAGTTGGCATTGTAAAAAATCATCTAAAAACTGATAAAAAGTTTACACACCCTTAATATTGTGTATTGCCCCCTCCAACATAAATGACAGCTTGAAGTCTTTTGGTAGTCATGAATGAGGCTCTTTTTTTTTAGATGGTAAAGCTGCCCATTCTTCTGGGCAAAAAGTCTCCAGTTCGTGTTCATTCCTGGACTGCCTTGCATGAACTATGCACAAGCGATCTCCTAATCTCCCAAGGGTGGTTAAATAATACTGAGTTCAGGAGACTAGGAATCTTCATTTTGTTCTGCTGTAGACAGTGATAGGTTAACTTGACTTGTGTTTTGGATCGCTGTCATGTTGGAACGTTAAATTACGTCTTATTCACAGCTTCAGGGCTGATTATTGAAATTTTTACCAGTAATATTTGCTGATAAAGTGCTACATTAATCTTTTCTTCAATTTTGACCAAGTTTTATGTGTCTCTGTAGTGCACACATCACTTAAACATCAGTTATGCATGGTGTTCAATTTTTCTTTCATCACTCCAAGTTACCTTGTTTCAGCAGTTTCGAAGCTTGCCTCTGTGATGTTTGGTGCGTTGTGGGTGAGATACTTTGCAGCATTTGCGCAGTAATGACTTTCTTCTGGTGACTCGACCAGAGCCTCCTTTTTGTGCATTTTCAAACAGCCAGACAATGGTTTTCAGAGTCTTGTATTTCAGTTGATGTAGTTTGTGCATATTTCTTTGCATCTCGAACAATTTTCCTGTCAGTTGTGGCTGAAACTTCTGTTAGTCGCCCTAACTGTGGTTTGGCTTTAATCAAGCCCCTGAGTTTTTATTCAATAATCACAGTTTGAACACTGTTTGCTGGTGCTAATAATTTTTGGATATAATTTTTTTATATATATTTCCATTTTTATACAGTTCTATTATATTTACCAGCAGATTATTGTCTAATTCTTTTGTTTTCCCTATGACTCCAAAAAGGTCAGTGTCAGAATCAAAGAAACTCATTTGGTCCAACTTCTATGCATGTTATCCGACCAGAATCAGTAGGGTATGTTAACTGAGGATCATTGAGGTAGGTTCTGTTGTCATTATAATTTAAAAAGAGAAAACACAGCCGTTTGACATTAAATGGTTTCACCCAAACTTTAAACTTTAGTGGAAAATTTTGTGATCATTCATATTCCCTGAAAAACTGTCCAAGAATCATAGAGTCTGCCGGTATGTAAACTTATGAGCATAACTCTGTATAAATAAACTGAATTAAATATTGAATCAAATTAATATGCAGTTAGGCTCAGATTTTTCCTTTTTTTTTGTGGCAAATTTGAACCGACAATCACCAACCAGGAAGTTTGTTCCTGGTAGGAGCCTGGGATAGTATTCCTTATGGGGAAAAAAAATCTTTTTTTCATTAAAATTCATTTAAATTCTAGGCTTTGTGTTGTTCCACCTATATTTTAAAGTATCTTTATTAGAGAGTTTAATGCCTCTGAGTTAAAATAGCCTTTTTGCCCATCCCACAATGATTTAAATCTTTGCATACTAGATTCAAGTCATTAGTGTGCTAGGAAAAGGAATAACACTACCTCAAGTCAGAAGAAACATTACAGGAGATTGATGAATGGAAGTTTAGACAATCAAACCGGATTTTCTGATGCCGACCTTAGATGTTAAAATGAGTTCATGTGATGTGTAATAATTAAGTGTATGGATTTTGGAAATAATCATTATAGGAAACTAAATTATGCTGATGCATCACGCAATCATTAGATCTGGAGTATGGTGTAAATGGACCTTCATACAGTCCAATGATTATCAATGCAAACCGATTAGTAATTGTTATACGTGCAATGGCTAATAATTTCAGTTGTTTTAAAACTGTTAAATGGGCTTTTGCAATAAAGCCCTTCTTTATATTTTTCCAAAATTTGGATATTTTTTGATGATAATTTTGTAAGAGATTATACTATACAGTTGCATTTTTTCTTTTCTTTTTAGGCAGTTGTTTACTCTTTATAAGCATGTATGATTTGAAGCTTCAGTTTTCGGTTCTTATTAGACAGTAGTGTCAGAGGGTTTGATCATCTGCTGCTGCAGCTCATCTGCTTTCCATTTATCTTTGTTCTAACAAATGTTCTCTTAACTTCAAACAATTCTATCAATTGTTCTCTGACCTTTTAAATAAAAAAGGCCCTTTTATCCATACAGCTGATGAATATATTTTTTATATATAAACTTCCACAAAATTCTATATGTTCACATTTTTAGCCCATCGGATCTGCCACCAACAACCATGACGTTCATAGTCACTTATATCCTTTCTTACTATTTGTTTTTCTTTTTTTGTTGTGGAACTCATTACGATCTCTACAAAAAGTCTTGATGCCTAAACGAGTTTAATATAAAGAATGTTCCTAAACCAGAAAGTAAACGAAAACCACAAGTGAATGTGACTTGGATAAAAGTGACAATATTTAATTCAAAAACAGAATAAATCAAAATACAAATTACAGCTCAATTAAGGGTAACTTAAATACATTTATGAGACAGATATATTGCTGTTAAATTGCAGTAGTAAATCACATTTAAAAAACATTGACAATGTATACTGGCCATTGTTTAAAGGCTTTCTATGTTGAAAGATAAAAAAAAAAACATTCTAAAATGTAAACAATGATTAAAGGGCTTAGTATTCATCAGTGTGATATTTTAAGGTTATCTTAAAACTAAAGTGAACTAAATTTTGCATTAGTTAAATATTGTATAAAGTACAGTAAAAAAGAATAAGTATTAAAAGCCAATCACTTTAAAAATGATCTGTAATCTTAATTAATATTTTTTTCAAAAAGTAAAAAAGAAAAAACAGATTTTAGAAAACAATTAGGAATGTAACCCAACTGAATAAAAAAACAACATACTTTGAATTTAAATGAAAATAAATGCAATAAGACTATATGACAATAACATAACATTAAAATATCCCCCAAAAAGAAAGAAACAACACAATAGTTTCATAACTTATGAGTCATTATTTGCATCTTCACAACAAAACTACATAAAACAAAATTCTTCGAATGTTATTTCTGAAAAAGTTATGCATACATTATGT